AGACTGATGTGACTGTGGGGGGGGGGGACATTAGAGTGTAAGCTCCTCTGGTACAGAGACTGATGTGACTGTGGGGGGACATTAGAGTGTAAGCTCCTCTGGTATAGAGACTGATGGGACTGTGGGGGAGGGGACATTAGAGCGTAAGCTCCTCTGGTACAGAGACTGATGTGACTACGAAGGGGGGGGGCATTAGAGTGTAAGCTCCTCTGGTACAGGGACTGATGTGACTGTGGGGGAGGGGACATTAGAGTGTAAGCTCCTCTGGTACAGAGACTGATGGGACTGTGGGGAGGGGACATTAGAGTGTAAGCTCCTGTGGTGTGTTCCTCACCTGTGACGGTCAGATTGGTCCCTTTCCCATGGTAATGAACGTGGCTCCTCCCCTCCACTGTACAGGTATAAAGTCCGCTGTCCTCAGGTGTAACAGAGGAGATGGTGAGAGATTTCGGGGGTAGTGACCGTCACCCGGGAGGAGTTCTGCAGGTAGGAAGGATTCCAGGATCTATTCACATACCATGAATGGTGAACGACCTCCACCTGTCCGACCTCACAGGACATCCGGGCCGTGTCACCGGCCAACAGGGGTAGAAATGGAGGATCTTGGGCCACCGTCACTGAGGGGACACCGGATGAGAACAATTTGATAATTCATAATAAAATAAGAAGTCCTAATAAATTCACTTCTAGACGCTCCTCCCTCCCTACACTGTAAGAGGATCCCAGTTATTCGCCTTTATATGTTAAAAAAAGAGAGAGAGAGGGGGGGGGGGGCGAGAGAGAGAGAGAGCGCCAATGTTCATCTCAAGAGAAAAAAAGATAACTAACGCATTTCAGGGGCCAACAATCCTCTTCATCAGGGCTTGGAAAATGCAGCATAAAACTATTGGGCTCAACAAAAAGCTCCTGGATGGAATTCTGACAGGAGAGAAGAACTGAAAGTGCGTTGTGCTGCCCCTACAGTCAGGTGATATACAGTATCCCCCAGAAGTGAGTCCCCCCTTCCCCAGACTGTATACACTGTATATATATATATATATATATATATATATATACACACACACAGTATCTCCCAGAAGTGAGTCCCCCCCTCCCCCGGAGCTATACTTTCTAGCTCCCTGGTCTCCCTCCTCCCATGCCCGACTGCAGGACTTCTCCAGGACTTCCCCCATCCTCTGGAACTCACTACCCCAATCCATCAGACTGTCACCTACCCTCCTCACCTTCAGGTGCACCCTGAAAACCCATCTCTTCAGGGAAGCCTACCCCACCCTCACCTAATTGCTGATCTCCTCCACTCTCCTCCTACCACTCCATCCCCCACAGCCACTTCCTCCTGTTCCACTATCCCCTCCCTCCTAGATTGTAAGCTCCAAAGAGCAGGGCCCTCGCCCCCCTCATGTATTGTATTGTTACTGTATTGTCTCATGTTCTGTCCCCCACTATAATGTACAGCGCTGAGTGAACTATCTCCGCTATATAAATACTGTATAATAATAATAATAATACACACAGTATCCCCCAGAAGTGAGCCCCCCCCCCCCTCACATTTGTGTCAATATTTGATTCTATCTTTTCATGTGACAACACTGAAGAAATGACACGTTGCTACAATGTGACGTAGTCAGTGTACATCTTGTATAACATGGAAATTTTCTGCCCCCTCAATATAACTCAACACACCGCCATTAAGGTCTAAACCACCTGCAACAAAAGTGAGTCCACCCCTAAGTGACAAGGTCCAAATTGGGCCCAAAGTGTCGATATTTTGTGTGGCCGCCATTATTTTCCAGCACTGCCTTAACCCTCTTGGGCACGGAGGTCACCAGAGCTTCACAGGTTGCCACTGGAGTCCTCTTCCACTCCTCCATGACGACATCACGGAGCTGGTGGATGTTAGAGACCTTCCGTTTGAGGAGGCCCCACAGATGCTCAGTAGGGTTCAGGTCTGGAGACATGCTTGGCCAGTCCATCACCTTCACCCTCAGCTTCTTTAGCAAGGCAGTGGTGGTCTTGGAGGTGTGTTTGGGGTGGTTCTCATGTTGGAATACTGCCCTGTGGCCCAGTCGCTGAAGGGAGGGGATCATGCTCTGCTTCAGTATGTCACAGTCCATGTTGGCCTTCATGGTTCCCTCAATGAACTGTAGCCCCCCAGTGCCGGCAGCACTCATGGAGCCCCAGACCATGACACTCCCACCACCATGGGGCCCCAGACCATGACACTCCCACCACCATGGGGGCCCAGACCATGACACTCCCACCACCATGGGGCCTCAGACCATGACACTCCCACTCCCACCACCATGGGGCCTCAGACCATGACACTCCCACCACCATGGGGCCTCAGACCATGACACTCCCCCACCACCATGGGGCCTCAGACCATGACACTCCCACCACCATGCAGCCCCAGACCATGACACTCCCACCACCATGCTTTACTGTAGGCAAGACACACTTGTCTTTGTACTCCTCACCTGGTTGCCGCCACACATGCCTGACACCATCTGAACCCAATCAGTTGATCTTGGTGTCATCAGACCACAGAAGATGGTTCCAGTAATCCATGTCCTTAGTCTGCTGGTCTTAAGCAAACTGTTTGCGGACTTTCTTGTGCATCATCTTTAGAAGAGGCTTCAATCTGGGACAGCCATGCAGACCAATGTGATGCAGTGTGCGGCGTATGGTCTGAGCACTGACAGGTTGACCCCCCCACCCCTTCACCCTCTGCAGCAATGCTGGCAGCACTGAGAGGCTGACCCCCCACCCCTTCACCCTCTGCAGCAATGCTGGCAGCACTGACAGGCTGACCCCCCCACCCCTTCACCCTCTGCAGCAATGCTGGCAGCACTGACAGGCTGACCCCCCCACCCCTTCAGCCTGTGCAGCAATGCTGGCAGCACTGACAGGCTGACCCCCCCACCCCTTCACCCTCTGCAGCAATGCTGGCAGCACTGACAGGCTGACCCCCCCCACCCCTTCAGCCTGTGCAGCAATGCTGGCAGCACTGACAGGCTGACCCCCCCACCCCTTCAGCCTCTGCAGCAATGCTGGCAGCACTGACAGGCTGACCCCCCCCCCACCCCTTCACCCTCTGCAGCAATGCTGGCAGCACTGACGGGCTGACCCCCCACCCCTTCACCCTCTGCAGCAATGCTGGCAGCACTGACAGGCTGACCCCCCCACCCCTTCACCCTCTGCAGCAATGCTGGCAGCACTGAGAGGCTGACCCCCCCCCCCACCCCTTCAGCCTGTGCAGCAATGCTGGCCCCACTGACAGGCTGACCCCCCCACCCCTTCACCCTCTGCAGCAATGCTGGCAGCACTGACAGGCTGACCCCCCCCACCCCTTCACCCTCTGCAGCAATGCTGGCAGCACTCATACGTCTATTTCCCAAAGACAACCTCTGGATATGACGCTGAGCTCGTGCACTCAACTTCTTTGGTGGACCATGGCGAGGCCTGTTCTGAGTGGAACCTGTCCTGTTACACCGCTGTATGGTCTTGGCCCCCGTGCTGCAGCTCAGTTTCAGGGTCTCGGCAATCTTCTTATAGCCTCGGCCATCTTTATGTAGAGCAACAATTCTTTTTTTCAGATTCTCAGAGTTCTTTGCCATGAGGTGCCATGCTGAACTTCCAGTGACCAGTATGAGAGAGTGAGAGCGATAACACCAAATGTAACCCACCTGCTCCCCATTCACACCTGAGACCTTGCAACACGAACGAGTCACATGACCCCGGGGAGGGAAAATGGCTAATTGGGCCCAATTTGGACCTTGTCACTTAGGGGTGGAGTCACTTTTGTTGCCAGCGGTTTAGACATTAATGGCGGTGAGTTGAGTTACTTTGAGGGGACAACAAATTTACATGTTATACAAACTGTACATTCACATATTATTTTGGTGCCCCTCCTTTTTTCCTCATTTCTGGGGGAGTAGTGGGGGGGAGAGAGTAATAATAATTTTTTTTTTTCTTCTCCCTTTCTTCTCGCCTCTCTCCCGGTTATTGAGTTATTGAGTTCCTAGAATCTGGCGGATGGGATATGCAAACTGGTGAGGTGTGCATGGTCGGAGCCCCACCCTTAAGGTGGAATCAATGGTGGGATTAAGACCACAAATGATTTGTAGGCAGACTATCAGCCTAAGGGGAGATAGGAAGGGTTGGGGGGGGGAAGTAATAGGGAGGTAAGAGTTAGTTTTGCGCTCTGCGAGAAACATAGAGGTAAATTAGTCAGGAAGAATGATAGGGAAGGAATGGGAAAATATAGGAAAAAAATGCAGAAATCTAAACAGATATAGCGAGCGCTCAAAACGGATGTAAAATTATTTAAATAGTATATTAGTTAGATAATAAAAATTATAACCAGCGGCAAATGCACCAATTAGGGACCCAAAACCTAGTGAGAATCAATCAATAAAATAGTGCAGCGCTAAAATGCAAATTCAATGAATAACTCCAAAATGTTGCATAATAAAGAAATAAATGAATAATGCGTACTGCAACAATATATACAAAAGCTCCTGGTGGATGGATGTGGCGCTTCAACAAGCGCAAGTGTTCAGAAATAGTGCCGGCTTGACATGGTCACGTCAGCGAATTCGTGCTTCACTCTTAAAATTCATAAGTGACTCTCATAAAGAAATCCGTGTGATTATAATCCGTGAAGCAACATATAAAATGCGCACTCACCAGATGCACATAAGTTATGCGCATTAAGCCTGTGGGGAGCCCCTTTAGGTGGATCTGTCAGCCAGCCTGGAACAAGGATCCCTCCTCTGGACACCAGTCTCCTCTGCAGCCACGCTTCCTCTGGGGGGGTCTCTGTGAGCTTAGCTCAGATCAGAGCCAAATGATAAGAATTGCCTCATGGTGTAGTATTTAACCGCCTCCTGCCCGCCATATAGTACAATGACGGGCGCAAGGCGGTTCTCTCGTTCTGGGCGGACGTCATCTGGGAGGACGCCTCAGGAGCGCGCAGAGCGGCAATCAGCGGTGCGATGTGTCCCTCGGACACAGCGCATCACCGATCACACGGAAAGAGCCGAAGATGTCAGCTTGGTCATGTGATCAGCTGTGTCCAATCACAGCTGATCACATGTAAACACGGAAATGCCGGTTATCGGCATTCTCTCTCTCAGCTGAGCCGTCACGCTGACAGAGGGAGGAGAGGAGAGCCGGTAATCGGCATTCCTCGGAGGGGACATCTACACTGATCATCAGAGCTACTGATGTCAGTGCCCATCAGTGCCACCTGTCATCAGTGCCACCAGTGCCCATCAGTGCACATCAATGCCACATATAAGTGCCCATCTGAGCTGCCTTTCAGTGTCACCCATCAGTGCCAGTCAATGCTGCCACCTATCAGTGCTGCCAATCAGTGCCACCTAACAGTGCCCGTCAGTGCCACCTATCAGTGCCATATATGAGTGCTGCCTTTCAGTGCACATCAGTGATGCCTGTCAATGCCCATCAGTGCCACCTACCAGTGCCTCCTCATCAGTGCCACCCACCTATCAGTGTCCATCAGTGCAGCCTATCAGTGCCCATCACTGCAGCCTCATTAGCAGTGTGTGCACATCAGTGAAGGAGAAAAATCACTTATTTACAAAATGTTATAACAAAAACTAAGAAAAAACTTTTTTTTTCAAAATTTTTCAGTGGTTTTTGGTTGTTTAAGAAAAAATAAAAAACCCCGAAGTGATTAAATACCACCAAAATAAAGCTCTTTCTGTCACAAAAAAATTATAAAAATGTCATATTGTTAAGTGTTGCATGACCGCACAATTGTCATTCAAAGTGTGACAGCACTAAAAGCTGGAAATTGGCCTGGGCAGGAAGGGGGGCAGAAGTGCCCTGTGGGCAGGAAGGGGGTAAAGTGCCCTGTAGGCAGGAAGGGGGTAGAAGTGCCCTGTAGGCAGGAAGGGGGTAGAAAGTGTCCTGTAGGCAGGAAGGGGGTAGAAGTGTCCTGTAGGCAGGAAGGGGGGTAGAAGTGCCCTGTAGGCAGGAAGGGGGTAGAAGTGCCCGGTAGGCAGGAAGGGGGTAGAAAGTAGAAGCCCCTGTAGGCAGGAAGGGGTAGAAGAAAGTGCCCGGTAGGCAGGAAGGGGGTAGAAGTGTCCTGTAGGCAGGAAGGGGGTAGAAGTGCCCCTGTAGGCAGAAGTGCCCTGTAGGCAGGAAGGGGGTAGAAGTGTCCTGTAGGCAGGAAGGGGGTAGAAGTGCCCTGTAGGCAGGAAGGGGTAGAAGTGCCCAGTAGGCAAGGAAAGGCCCTGTAGGTAAGGGGGTAGAGTGCCCTGTAGGCAGGAAGGGGGTAGAAGTGCCCTTGGAAGGGAAGGGGGTAGAAGTGCCCTGTAGGGGGGTAGAAGGTCCTTAGGCAGGAGAAGTGTGCCCTGTAGGCAGGAAGGGGGTAGAAGTGTCCCCAGGAAGTAGGCAGGAAGGGGGGTAGAAGTGTCCTGTAGGCAGGAAGGGGGTAGAAGTGCCCTGTAGGCAGGAAGGGGGTAGAAGTGTCCGGTAGGCAGGAAGGGGGTAGAAGTGCCCAGTAGGTGGAGGAAGGGGGTAGAAGTGCCCTGTAGTCAGGAAGGGGTAGAAGTGTCCGGTAGGCAGGAAGGGGGTAGAAGTGCCCGGCAGGCAGGAAAGGGGGTAGAAGTGCCCTGTAGGCAGGAAGGGGGTAGAAGTGTCCTGTAGGCAGGAAGGGGGTAGAAGTGCCCTGGCAGAAAGGTAGGTAGGAAGGGGTAGTAGGAAGTGTCCTGTAGGCAGGAAGGGGTAGAACGTGTCCGGGGGTAGAAGTGTCCTGTAGGCAGGAAGGGGGTAGAAGTACTCGGGGTAGGGGGTAAGTGTCCTGTAGGGGGGGGGGTAGAAGTGTCCGGGGCAGGAGGGGGTAGAAGTGCCCTGTAGGTAGGAAGGGGGTAGAAGTGTCCCCTGGAGGCAGGAAGGGGGTAGAAGTGCCCTGTAGGCAGGAAGGGGTAAGGGGGTAGAAAGGGGTATGAGTGCCTGTAGGCAGGAAGGGGGTAGAAGGGGGCAGAAGTGCCCTGTAGGCAGGAAGGGGGTAGAAGTGCCCTGTAGGCAGGAAGGGGGTGGAAGTGCCCGGGAGGCAGTAAGGGGGAGGGGTTAAAAATTCCATTTATTAATAGTGGATGATCATCCAAAAAGATAACATATGACAGTAAGCAGAATTTGTAAAAGCAATCCAAATAAAACAAATTTGGTTGATTAGCCACTTTCCAAAATGGCCGCCGGACTTTCGGCCGCTCAGGTGGCGTGACGTCACGATGTTATGGCTCCTCTTTGACGCATTTTGTGCCAATGCACGTTATCAAAAGGGGTGTGCCTAATGTCAGACGTCTATCACATCCTATCTACAGTATACTTGCGGTGCGCCCACATGTGTATTACACGGGCGCCATGTTTAATATGATGCGGCACAATTTTATTGGAGGTAATAGCTCCTGCTGGAAGAATTATTCAAAAAGCTATTTTTTTTCAGAAAAAAAATGCTAATAACAGCTTCTTTTTTTTTTTCTATAGCTAAATAAATGCTTGAAAAAAACACTAGTAACAGCATTTTTTTAGCAACGTTTTTTTAGCAGCATTTAGCGATTTTACAGCACATGTATAAAAAATGCTAGAAAAAAAGCTGTTAGGATCATTCAAAGTTTTTTTTTTCTGCAGGAACAACGCTCCCAAAAACCCTACAGAAAAGGTTTTTTTTTGTTTTTTTTTTGCTCCAGAAGCTTGAAAAAACGCTAATCACCTTGGACTGACAGACGCGTTCCGTCCCCCGAGTGTACAATCAGTCCCCCATCCCGCACGGTGCAGACATACAGTCCGGCATCTTCCTCGGTGACGGATTGGATGGTGAGGGAATTCTGGGTGACGGTCGTCCTCGAATTATTTCCCAGTAATAGATAATCGGTGGATGTAATCACATGCCAGTAATGAGCTGAAATCTTCCCGACATTTCCTATATCACAGAACATCTCGGCCGTCTCCCCCTCAGACAGGGTGAGCGATGGAGGACGCTGGAGCACCGTCACTGCGCCGGCACCTGGGGGGAGGAGACACGTATACCGCATGAGTATCAATGGCGCCTGACCCAATCAGATGACAGCGAGCAGAAGGACGGGTCACAGGGCAATGCAATGCGAAGAGTTCCCCCCATACACTTAGCAACCAGCCAAAAAAGAAAAAAAATCGAAACCGTTTCATCAATTTGGTTTTAGCGCCCGATTGGGGAATTGAAATCGCAGCTGAAATCGCATCGAATGAATGCGAATGTCAGCGACTTAACGCATGCGATTTCTACAGTAGTCCTTGCGTGACTTTGTTCTGTTTTGTTGCGATTTCTCAGACATATACGATAGAACCGAGATCGCGCTGCAAATGGCAGGAAAATCAAGTCGCAACAGAGTCTTCAGAAATCGCACACAAATCGCAGCGGTGTGACCGGCGACTTGACACCCACCCCCCCCCCCCCCCGGCTTGCAACAATCCGGATTTGAAGTTGTGCAAACTGAAGTCACACGAAAAGTCGGTGGAAATGCCGATTTCAGGTGCGATTTGCAAGATGTCTATGCAAATCGCACCAAAAGTCACGTAAGAACTACTGTAGAAATCGCACGCGTTAAGACGCTGACATTCGCATTAATTAGATGCGATTTCAGCTGTGATTTCAATTCCCAAATAACACCGGTGTGATCAATTGTGGACAGTAGGGTGCGACTTGGCATGCGATTTGCAAGTCGCATGGCACGTAAATCGCATGCCAAGTCGCATCCGATGTGACCGGGGTGTAAATCAGATATTTATTGTATCCATTTCAATTAATTGTTTATTGCTTCTGTTGGGACCGGGAATAGAAGATTATTAATGGAGAAAGTTTGGAGTTTCAGTCCCCAGTCACGCTGGATGCGAATCGGCATGCGATTTGTATGCCATGCGACTTGCAAATGACGTACCCTATTGTCCGCAATTACAGCGGTCATATTAGTGCGGTTCTGACTTGGTCGGAGCCGCAGCAATTTCTAAAGTAGCGCATGTGTTACTTTTGGTGCGATTTGCTGTGTCGAATGTCTTGCAAATCGCACCTGAAATCGGCATGTCCCCCAACTTCGAAATCGTGCGACTTCACTGTAAGTCGGGTTTGGTGCGACCGGTGGAGTAAGCCCCGGGTTCAAACTAGAACGCAGTTTGGCGGGGAAAACCCGCGATCCGTGCGCATTTCCTGTGCCACATTCAAATCTCACTGCAGCATGCATCAGCGCCATGTTAAAGACGCCCCAAACGCAGGTCACAAAATCGCAGCAACGTTTGCCTGCGACAGACTGCATGGTACAAAACGATCACGCGATCCGGTTGTAGTGCGTCTCTAACGTTGGCTCATGCGCTGCTTTGGTGATGATTCGTGCGTGAATGGCGCAGGAATGAAGTGCGATTCATAAGGCGATTCCTAGCGTGAAGCAGGGCTAAGGGCTCGTTCACAGGTGCCCTCTGAAGAGCGATCTGCATTGGAGGACATTGTGAGATATTCTATAAATACATCGATTTCTTCTTGATGCTCTGAAGGCCTCGTCCACACCGGTGCGATTCCTCCTGCGTCTGCCGTCACACTCAGGGCCGGTGCTAGACTACCAGACTACTGCGCCCCAGGTAAGGCCAACTACTTGCACCCCCCCCCCCCCCCCCGAAAAAACAAATAAAACTTCACCTGTAGTTCTATTTCACCCCTCCTAGCATCCATCCTCCCCCCAAATCCCCCCTCCTAGATCAAATCCCCTCAAATCCCCCCTCCTAGCACAAATCCCCTATATCCCTCCTAGCATAACCCCCTCCAAAATTACCCTTCCCAGCACAAATCCTTTCTCCCCACCCAAATACCCCCCCAGCACAATCCACCCCCCCCCCCCATCCTCCTCTTCTGAAACAAATCCCCCCCAATCCCCCCTCCCAGCACACATTCCCACCCAATTACCTCTTCTAGCACAACCCCTCCCAATCCCCCCCAGCACAACCCACCCCCATCCTCTTCTAAAACAAATCCCCCCTCTCCTAAACAAATCCACCCCCCCCCCAATCCCCCTGCCTAGCACAACCCCTCCCAATCCCCCCAGCACACAACCCACCCCCATCCTCTTCTAAAACAAATCCCCCCTCTCCTAATACAAATCCACCCCTCCCAATCCCCCTGCCTAGCACAACCCCTCCCAATCCCCCCCAGTACAATCCCCCCCCACCCTCCTCTTCTAAAACAAACCCCCCCAATCCCCCCCTCCTAGTACAAATCCACCCCTCCCCCCAATCCCCCTACCTAGCACAACCCCTCCCAATCCCCCCCAGCACAATTTCCCCCCCATCCTCCTCTTCTAAAGCAAATCCCCCTCTCCTAGTACAACTCCACCCTCCCAAATCCCCCTGCCTAGCAACAACTCCCTCAATCCCCCCTCCTAGCATAAATCCCCCCTCTTAGCACAAATCCCCCCCCCCCC